ATGACTCGTTTGGACAGATCAAACCGGAATGCAAATGGTGGTTCCCTGAGTCTTGGAATAAATCAAGGGACGGCGTCGACTATTGATAGGCACAGTTGTCGTGCTTGTCCTTTCCTCCGTCAACTGCTTGTCAGGTCTTAAACAAACTTTTCATAAATTATTGTTTCACTAGCCAGACAGGGATTTTACTGCCCGCTCGCACCAGCTTTACGCCTATCAGACGATGGCGCATCTTGCACTAATTTTCTCTTTAACGACTAAAAATGCGTCTTCTTTTCTACTTTTTTAAAAAAATCAGTTTCAAACAAAACTTTTCGACGTTTTTAAATAATCATCTCAGCTAATTTTTTAGTGCGTCGAGCAAAATTTAGCACCAAATGCAGCTCAGTTTACCGCAAAATTTCATGGTGCTCAAACCAATTTATTGTTTCATCATTGCAGCCAAGCGAAAATAAAATGAAAGGCAGTTTAACTGTTCCTCATATACCCACGTAAAAAGAAAGTAGAAGATTGATTCTGATTCACAATCACACAATACTGAACGACAGAAAGCCTCTTTAAAGAGCACTACTTTCAGTAAAATTGCAAGCATTTCTGGCTACAGTGAATGAGCTAAAGACCTAAAATATCCAAATAGAACAAGTTGGGTAGTGGACCCTGAGAAAAAGCTGTACCGACAGTTGCTGCTTCTCAATAACAATAAGCGCGATAATCTGGGCGATCTTGATGCCGTCAATGACGCACCGAGCAAATGTCTCTTCAACAATGAGAACTCGGTTTAAAAGGACCTCATATTAGTGTACTCGTTCATTTATCCACAGCTTCACTTCCGTAACATCCAAATATTAGTCATGTTATATAATACCCATCTTGCATATAACAGACTCACGATCGAAGGTCCTAGCTTAATTGCGCTTGGTGTGCGAGAGCGACCCAATAACATCAATAACATGGATTGTCCGAATAGCCTTGGTATTCTTAACATACAACAGAAGTTTGTTAAGAATGATTAAGAATGAACAATAAAATATTTTTTCTACTAGGCTCTAACTGTTTATTGTTTCTCCTTGAATTTTACTTTGCACAAAAATAATGTTTTTTCTATGGCATTCTTAATGCAT